CGGTCTCAGAGGTGAAGGAAGCTTAGTGAAGCTTTCTGCAGAGAAGGAGGCCAGGCAAGCCCTGCAAGCGCCTCCCGTGGCACAGCTTGAATTTACTCATATGTAGGATGGTCTATGATTCGCACTAGTAAAGTTCCATTTTCACTATTGTTGTACCACTGGCATGAGCATCGTTGTATTAATGGAGTAGTATAACTGTAATAATGGTTGTGATTACTGTTGTTACGATTGCCATTAGCGCAGGTCTTGTGTCCGATTCGTCAGGCAGCTTTGATCGCAGAAGCCCTTGCAGAGAGCTTCGAGGCAGTTCTAGCACAAAGGAATGCAAGTGTAGCTCCCAATCTCCGGTGGCTTTTCCGGGACAGGTCACTGACAAGGCCCACGGCAAAGAGCGAAAGAAGCGTAGTTTGACTTCTCGGACTTTCGCCACTTCGAAGGCCTGGCTTGTGGCTGCGCGCAAGAAGGACCTCCAGGAGGGCTCCACAGGCAGCGAGCTCAACAGCCTCGCACGGCAGCGCAACAGTCGCAGTGTCGTGTCACCCCTTTCCCTTCGAAAATCCTTCGAGGCATCGTGGCCTTGGTCTCTCACGGATTTGCGGCTCCTGTGGAGGCGCTCCTGCTTGGCGGCCATGGCCGAAACAAATCCTTGGCTCTCTGAGGCCAAGCTGGCTGAAGGCTGTGCTGCGCTCTGGCCCAAACCAAAGGAGTGCTCCTGCCCGTGGAGCTCTGTTTGGTGGCCCCTAAAGACAGGACTTTAGTGCGGCCAGTGCCTCGTTTGCAGGAGGCACCGGAGAAAGAAAAGCGCCCAGGCACCGTCGCCTCAGCCTCAGAGAACGTGCCGAGCCATCATTTGATTCGGACCGGATGTTCCGAGGCGCGCGCTCCGGGTGGTGCCTGGCACTCAGATGTGGACACAGAGATGCTTGTCTACAACGCACACGCATTCTCTCTCGCGATCAATAGGTTGCCAAACTCTTCGTCGCCTGGGCTGGAGACTGCCGGTGTGTCCTCCTTCGTGGACGCAGAGGGCTGAGTGCGCAGCTGCATGCTACAGGATACTAATTGCAAGTCGAGATGATGTGAAAGAGCGGTACTGCCAGTCAAGGTCAAGGACTGCGGATATCGGAGGATCACAGACCCCAACGTGCCTTGGTAAGTCAGGCTCCGCATGAGGAGAGGTCATAACAAGGAAGGTACCTGATTCACAGGGCTGTCCATCCTTGGTACCTGAGAGTCGAGAGCAATCTTCGAAAGTCGAGGTGCTGATGAGAAGCGGCGGGTATCACTCCTGAAGGGTCATAGATGTCTTTCCTTGCCCTGTCAGCCTCGAGACGGTTCGGAGCGTAACTTGGGCACGTCTTGCTCAGGTTGAAAAGGCTGGTGGACTCGTCGTTCGAGATGCGCACAAAGTGTGGCGCGTCGGGTGGCGGGCTCAAGGGTTGAGATTGCTTGCCCACAACAATATAGTAAAATGTGACAGAAGCACTGATCACAGAGGTATGGCATTCTGAATATAGTCGGATATGTCTCGCATGCAAGTCTGCTGCATGAGCGGCCCGCCTCTCCCAGACCGCGGCCGGACAACAAGTTCGCCAAGGAATTGCAAAAGGTGCCGAAGATCCGAAGACAAGGCTACTGGAAGAGATCATGGGTCACCCCCGGCAGGGCAAGAAGGACGGTCATCAGATGAGTGTGTTGCGAATCTCAGCTTCTCACAGAAAACAACCACTTTCGCAAGATGAAGCCTGCCGCTGGGCACAGGTTTCTGTCGACCTGCAGAGGGTTTGGAGATCCATCTTTTAAGAGTCCGGATCCCATAGCCGACGGCTTACGCGTCGCTTACACTGCTCGGCGCAAGATGGTGTAAGGGAATGATGCGCGATGCGGCATACTGTGAATTGCGATAAGGTGATCGTCACCCCCGATGTCAAAACCGTAGACCTGGTGCGGCGCAGAAAGCCTGTCCTGGAAAGCCTGTGCTTCGCTCGCCGCGCCCAGGTTCCCGAAGACTGGGCCTGTGTCCTGGGAAGCGACGGCATCTTTGATGCTCTCAGCGACCAGGCAAGAGCAAAGCGAGGGTGTGGGACAGTCGGATGTCGTCGCTTTGCCAGGAGGTTGCAGACGTTGTTTGGCGTGCCATGGCGGGTCACGGCAAGGATGCCGTCAGGCGAATCGCCAGCGAGAGCGAGTCAGCCTCGTGACCCTTGGAGCCTTAGCCGCTGCCTGCCGAGGGCCGCCAAGGAAGTGGTGCAGACAGCCTTGCGCAAGGGAAGCCGTGGCAGCCCGAAAGTAAGACTTGATCCTGGTGGCAAATAAATCTCGTTGTGCATCAGACGCGGTGAGGTGACAATGTTACTGCTGTCATTTGTCGCTTCGGCTGGGCACGGGCCTTGACACGTGTTGCCGTGTGCTTTTGTGTGAAGCTACCTATATCTCTCCATCGATCTATAAGCTTCGAGGCCAGCCCCCCGGAGATGGACTCGACGGTGGCTGCAGTGATATCTTCCTCAGGCAGCTGACGGACGCAGGAAGCAGGGAAGGGATGAAAGCTCGTGATTGCTGCCAGGGTTGGAGAACACTGCCTTCACTGCCCCCGTGGAGCACTGGACTTGGATACAGAAACAGGCTGAGAGTAGAGGCAATCGGAGGCATGTTGCCTTCTCAACTCTCCGGCTAAGCCTTCGACTCGGTGACTCAGGCCATCTGATGATGTCAACATGTTCGGGCTGGGATCTTGTCAGTTTGCACATGTCGAAATTCACAAGACTGCTGTGACATGAATCATTTTCTGGGAACGCGGCAGGCTTCTTCAAGTTTTCAAGTTGTTTCGAAAGAGTTGCAGGTGATGCGGCTTCTGCGACGAACAGCATGGCAGCGTGCGATGTGCCCCAACAGGGGGCTCCTTATGCTTGACTGCCCGCCTGGGCATGCTGCCGGGTGGCTTGAAGCCTGCAGCCGCCTGCGCTCCAAGGGAAGCTGAACGCAGCCGAGAGTCGCAGTGAGCGCTCGAAAAGTCTAGCTCGACCCAGGTTATGGTGCTTCTTTCAGCCAACCAGACTGACCTGCTGCAAGTTTCGGCAATCGCTGCAGCCACGTATGTGCCCAACCACAGAAATTGGTGGAACTGGAGGGGGACTGAGGCTAAGGCGATAATTAGCAGAATTGCTCCACTGCAGCCCGAAATAGCTTGAGGTTGATATCCTTTTGCAGCCATGCGCTGTGCATCACGCCTAGTAGCCCTCACGGATAGGGCGATCCTCAGAGTTTCAGGTGCCGGGATGCGAGATGTGGGGGGGGAGTTCCGAAAAGTCGGGGTCCTGTGCACACGCATCATGGACCCGAGCATTCCGGCGCTTTGTAAGGGTTCAGATGGTCCAGAGTCCTTGTTTTTCTCAAACCGCAAGATCATAGAGCCATCGTTTGGCCAGGCGAGAACAGCGGGCTGTTCCTTCAAGGCTTATGCACACAGGACATGCAGAGTCTGCAGATCATGCGGTCTGCGGGCCATGCTGCAGCTTGGATTCGCCATTGAGACTGTAAATGCTTGACGCCTTCACGCACTCTTTATGCCCATACAGACTGCTGAGGGGCGTACCATGAATCTGCTAAGGTTTTGCCCGCCGCTTTCCTATCTCCCAAAGGCAAAGTACTTTGTGACACCTTGGTCCAGCAGGTGGACAAGCACGAATTCCTGGATCTTCAGCTGCACGACCGTTTCCATTCTTGCGCAGGTATCGTAATTACTTGCTGTCACGGTTGTCCTGTGTCCTTGTTCAACGGGATGGAGATGGTGCTTGGGAGCCCGACACGTGAGCAGAGGTCGACTGTCATGCAGATTCGGCGACGCCACTTCTTCGGCTGCTACAACGCCATCGCTTGCGACAGCCGCTGACTATTGAGAATGTCTCGAAAAGCATCTCGGCAGCAGAGAAGGTGTCGTGATGCGCCTTTCACGTTTTTGAAGGTCCGGTAGGCTGAGGAGAATGTCCTGAAGTGGCGAGGCTACATGCCTTTTGCACTCCTTCCGCCGGAAGCTGCATCCGAATCGTCAACGAGTGTCAGCACAGGCCAGAGCTGCGTGAGGAGTTTCGTTCGGGTTATAGCACTTGACCAGTCTTGCTATGGAGAGGCAACGAGCCAGAGCCAGATCTCGCGGACAGTTTTTTCCCAGATCCTCGTTTTGCGGGAATGGGTCAGCGTGCTCTCCTTTCCAGAGATGTAGCAACTACGGCCACGGAAATGACCGTCGCTGATTATCATCGTTGGCGTGTGTGCTGCGGAGTTCCAGAGGGTCCTCGTGACATGAAAGTCGACGAGATGATGCCTCTGCATGTGAACATGGAGCTGCTGAACTTCGTGTCCTTTTCCAAGGGCTGCTATGTGGGCCAAGAGCTGCTAACACGGACCAAGCACAGAGGTGCTGTGCGGAGGCGCTTCTTCATTGCTGTGGCTGCTGACTATGGGTCCAGCGAGGTGGCAAGTCTTCAGGATGCTTTGGTGCAGCTCGAGCCCAGTCGTCCGCTGACAGCCCGCTGCATCACATCCACTGCGGAGTCTTTGCAGCCCGAAGCCGATCCCCTTGCCGTCTTCGCTAGGTCAAGACACGACCAGACGGACCTGAAGCAAGTGGGAACGCTGCAGTCAGGCTTCCAGAACGTGGCCCTTTGCCTGCTACGGTGCGATGGCGACTTCAATGACCCTCGGAGCTTTGCAACTATCCCGCCCCTGCAAGAGGACAGGGAGGTCGTCACGGCCTCTGGCCGATCACAGATCCTGCTACGGGCTCCTCCTTACGCGTTTGTCGAACCCGTGTCGCCAGAGTGAGGCGGCTATACCAGCCATTCCGACAAAAGGAAAAGGTACCCAATGCGTCCGGACTGGACAAGTCGCGGAAAGCTTGTGTAGGAGGTTTTGTCAGACTGATGGTGTCGGGGTGCAGATGAACATGCAACTGCAGCGCAAGTCATGGCTCAAGTCCGTTGACTCTGTAGCGGGGCGGGATGGAGAATCCCGACATCTGCCTGAACGACCCGTACCAGGACATTTCGGACGAGTTCGGTTGGACACAGAGCCCGAGTTCTGGAGGTCAGGAGCCGCAGGACACCCAGAGCCATGACGTGGAAGAGCAGGAAGGAACTGAAGGAACAGGCATCGAAGAGGAGGTGGACTGGGGCGACGACGAGGAGCACCAGGAGGCTAATGCTAATGACGGGGATGTAACGGATGAAGAGCAGGACCAGAATGGTGAGCAGGGCGAGCAGGGAGAAGAGCAGCATGCCGAGACCAAGCTTGAAGCAGCTCCGGACGTCCCTCAAGAACCGCAAGCCGCGAATTCCATCGCCCTGGAAGAGGACGACGATGATTGTCAAATCGTCAGTGTGGAGATGGGTCCTCCTCAGCCGAAGAGCCCCCCGAAGGGCAAGGGCAAAGGCAAGGGCAAAGATGGTAAAGCTGGCAAGGGCTCCACTGCCGTTCTGAAGGGCAAGGGCATCAAAGGGAAGAATGGGAAAAGTGGCAAAGGCCCCATTGCCAAGCAATACCCGGCTTCAGCACCACAGATTGCGAAGGCGACGGTGCCGAAATCGAAGCCCAAGCCACAACCACCGCGACTGCAGCCACAGCCCGTGCCCAAGGTCGGCCCGGCGAAGCCCCCCCAGCCAGGGGCGCTTCAGCAGGCTTCCACACCCATCGCAACTCCCGCGAGCCCACCGGTAAAGGCGGCTCCAACGCCTCCGCAAAACTTTGTTTCCGTGGACTCCCTGCTCACAGAACAGGTTCGGCTGCAGCTTCTCACGGAGCCTGGCAAGCGCGCCTCCATGCGAAGGCTTCTCACACAGCCCAAGGTTTCACAGTTGTTGCGCCACCTGAGCAGTAGCCGGCGCTTAGCCTTCGGTTCGATGCCGGGGGTCCTCTGCAAGCTGCTCCGGGAGTCTCCGGCCTTCCAACTGTCGGAGGCAAAGGACGATGCTCCGGCTGCCATACAGGATGTTCGAGTCAGTCTGACGGAGCAGGGTGAAGGAAATCCGCTGGTTGACAAAAGAAGCTTTGATAGACTCTGGTCCTCTCTGTTCCCGAATCGCTCGGCCTCGGCGACGAACCAACCGACCACACAAGCTGAGTCGGCACCGGCGGCTTCGAATGGCGCCTCGAATGCACAGGGCAGCGATGTGGCGGCCCGGAATCAGAGTAAGCAGAGGGCATTGCAACAGATCCGGGATCTTGATGACAAAGGCGTGCCGGATGGTCCACGTCCACCAAGCATGCCTCCCCCGAACTACAAAGCCGATTGGAGGCGTTTCCAACCGACGGCCAAAAGGGTCCTCGCTCCACGCAGGGCTGGCTCGGCGAGCAGCCTCGAAGACGGAACGGGCCAGCCACCCGAGCCCTCGCACAACGAGCTCCACCCGCAACCGGTTACCCAAGTGGTGAATGCGGGCCCGTGCAGAAGCCCGCAGGGGGGGCCCCCACGACCCCATCTCCCACGGCCACCACACGGGGTCCCACATGCACTTAACGCCCACAGCCAGCCTTCCGGCCCTACCCCGCCGGCAGGACCTCCACCCGGTCAAGGCGTGAGCCCAAGGCCTCATTTCCATATGGCTTCACCAAGAAGTCCTGCACCAGAACCCGTGGACAACGAGGGCCGCCCCTTTGACTTGGAGCACGTAGTGGTGAATTTTGCCAATGTGGGAGCAACATATGGAAGTCGTGTGCTCAAGAAGGACAAACAGAACTCGTATTTGTTTGACTACGAGGGCGTCAGACGGTGCGTAAGGCACCTGACGCAGAAGCGAAAGCTCCGGGTTATTGGTGTGATCTTCGAAAACTTTCATGGTGATGAAAACGGCCGCGAGGTCCACCAAGTGCCTCCCGACATTTCTGCCATGTGCGAGAGCATCGAGCTCACACCTCGATTATTGGGCCAAAGGCACAAGAGCGCCGATGATGAAATGACCATCAAGTGCGCATACCGAAGAAACTGCAGATTCTTGGACAATGACAACTACCAGGACTGGCGCAACTATCTCGCGGACGAGGCTGTGCGGACTTGGCTGCTGCACTGTCAAGAGTTCCTGCAGATGAAGTTCTACTTTGACTCTGGACTCGGAGACTTTGACATACTCGAAGGCAACATACCAGCTGCGTGGTTAGCGCAGGGCGCATCGCAGGGCCCATCGAAACGCATGTGTACGAGACCGTGGAAATGAAACCTAGAAAATGGGTTCCAGGAGCTTGCATGTTCACTGTAAGTGACTGTAGTGACAGTGTCAACTTGGTGACAAGCTTCTGATCTTGCGACGCAGCTCTGAGTTCCAAGGAGCTGCAGGGTTTGCCACTCGCATGCATGCTTCGGTGGCACCATAGTGGCTACGCGCGACGACCACATGACAGCATTGTTTATTTCCATCACATGGTAAAACGCTAGAACGGGCGTGAGTACATGAAGCAAGATAGTGTGCATCACTGCCCTCGACATTCAGCCAATGGCTCGGCCTCTGCCGACCAATGAATTCCGACTGGCAGAAGCCACCGTGTCTGAACAGCTTATTCCGTCCGTTCGCCAGACTGCACTTCCCGTTATTTCAAAGCTGACAGCTGAACTCAGGCTCGCAGACCTTTGGTATCGAAAGCGAGAGGCGCGCTTTTGATTTATGATGTCAAGCACCCCCAGTGATTGTCGACAACAGATGCCGCCAAGCGGAAGGTGTATCCTGCACAATGGGCCGATGACCCTGATCGGCTTCACTTGTGTGTCGTGGCTGGTGCGCCGTATGGAGGGCTTCCTGGCTGCAGTGGACTGCATGTCAGCGATTCGTTCCGTCCAGCGTGCAAAAACTTCAAGCGTGGGCTCTTGAGCCGCGGCAGAGTCTTTCTTAGGCCAGTGGCAACGGTGCGGGATGAGCAACGGGGCTTCCTCAGCATGTGCACACTTGCAGAGCTCCTGCGTGGTTACGTTACCCTTCAGAAGCGAGCCTCAGGCACGTCTTCCAACCCGTGAAGGGCAGTCTTCGAACGGAGTTGCAAATCTGGACATCTGCCGGCCGGCTCATTCAGTCAGCACCATGGGCACACACCGGTCCCTCGGCGTGAATCTGGGGGGTCTCGAGTCTAGCTGTTGCGTTGTGCGAGCCGACAGCCATGCAAGCGGGAGGTTTGCTCGCCATGGGCTGGAGTGCACAAGAAACCTTGGAGCCATGTCAGAAGTTGCGGAGTCCAGAACACACGTCTGCGCTTTCATCCCGATCCGAAGCCCGGGCGCCGAGTGTCTGTGAGGTGTGCGTCTTCGAGTCTGGGCTGGTTCGAACGTGGCGAACTTGAGTTGGACTGCTCGCCGTGTAGTGTCGAGGCTTGGATTGTGGCTTAGATGTGCGAACCTTTGCTTGAGGTTCACGGTGATGTGCGAACCTTTGCACGTGTTCACCGTGGACGAGCGGATCATGTCCGAGGGTGGGGCGATTGCTGCCGCGCTGTGGCCCAACGGAATTGCGCCTAGCTCAAAGAGTGAGTTGACTCGGCGAGCGTCAGTCCTTCCACACAACCCTGGTGCTTGTCCTGTGGGAGGCATTGCTGACCCGCAAGTTCAACATATTCGTGAACACTTCTCTCACTCGATCAGAGGATGCGCCTGGGGTTTGGCATTAGAGGTCGCACACAGGAGCATGAGGCATGATGAAGGTTGTGTCATCGGGCCCGCTAGAAAGATTCTTGAGTGGTTCCGTAAACCAAGGCTTGCCAGCGCTTTGCCGATTTCAAGGTTCCCAGCGTCACCTGGCAGAGCGCCTGCTTCACCATCTCATGAAGATGTAGGGTTTTTGAAGGGAAGAGCCCACAGCTACGGCTAGCAATTCCGAGGCACCTCTGAGCCTGTGCGTGCTCCCACCGCCTTCGGAGGAGTCAGCGGCAGCTGAAGCCTGCAATTGGGGCATTGTGGTGTTACAAGTGTTGCAACATTGCCATCACCCAGCTCAGGACGTGCAAGTCATCGTGGGTACTTCTGAGGGGCCCGTCTTGATGGTCGACAGGCTGGGGATACTTTTTCTCGTGCAAGCGCCGCAAGTGTCACGCAGCATGATGTGTCGCTTGGCGCCCTGCAGGCACAGCTGCAGCCGCTCGGTTTCGAATCTCCACCTCGCGCCTCGCGCCCGGTGCATGTTGCGACCCGTTTGGTGCGTTTTTTGAGGAGACATCGGGCTCACAGATGGTCCCTTCATGGCCTTCGCATTATCCAGCAGCGGCCGACTCCTGGCCTGCCTGAGCACCAAGGGCGTTTTCAAGGCGCCTGGCGCCCATGCGCTGCTTTTCAGTTTGGTTCTCACGCTCCGCGAGAGGTCCTCGCCGTCAGCGACAACTTGCAAGTCCTGGAGACCCGGCAAGTGGGCTAGCAGTGGCAGGCACAGTCTAAGAACTTGCTTCCGGCAGGACGTGGCGAACATCGTCGATACGATCAAGAAGCCCAAGCAGATGGTCTGGTGCACCTTTCTCAGTCCGAGTTAGCGACAGTGTGTGGGCTTTCGGGCTGCATGGTCGACAATCTGCCTATCACCAGAGGTGGGGACGACTGTATCGCTCTGTACTTGATTGCGCAGACCCCGTCGAACAGCCGCAAGCTCGGATCCAGTTGACCTACTTGCAGCGAAGTATCTGCAAGAGGATCGTGAGAAGTGCAGTTCCGTAACAGCAATGCAGGTGGAAATGCGCAAATGTGCTTGCACCGGCAGGAACTACTTGCGTCGCCACACCAAGGCCTGCAGCACATCCTCTTCGTTGGAGGGCCTCAGATGCTTGGTGCACACTTGCACTTCTCGCGGGTCAGGGGAGAAGAAGTTCTCTTCTGAGGGAGAGTAAACCTTGATCTTCGGCATTCGGCAATCCCTGCAAACTTCGCGCAGGTTCGTGTTGGTCGGTTGACTGGTTTGCTGCTTTGCGATTGGTTCGTGCCTTATGAAAGATTTCCATGTGCAGCGTTTAGAGTGACGCGGCCCGGCATCAGCGGTCAACGTCAACAGTAGCACACAATGGCCAGACGAGCCAGCTAAGTATCTAGCGTCGGCCTGATTATGGTTTCGAGACCAGTAACCCTGTTTGCGAATGCAGTCGAGGAACGACTGGATTCCTTACCAGTACGATGCACCCTTGCATTTGGTGTCGGAGTGCGACGGCTGTCGAGTACTGGGTACAAACAAGATCGAGTTCGTGCAACGAGTGCCACCAAGTGTGGAGCAAGTCTTCGGCATCGGCAGCGTTGATCCGCCGGCGATGTTGTGCTATGCACTGGAGCGCTACGAGGGTGGAGATGTTTGCGCACAGGAGTCTTTGAGACCCATCAAGGCCGAGCTGCCCGATGCCGTATCAACATGCATTGATGCGGCGCTCTGTGAACAGCCACCACACTCTAGCAATTTGCTCAGAGCCGCAAGCTTCGGTCGTCATTTTCTATCCGAAACCCTGGAGCCGGACCGTCACAGGGACGCTTGCAAAAACTTGCGGATCTGCGTTGAGCTGCGAAAGGCACCAGTCGAGATTCCCATCACCGCGGCCCAACTGGAGAAGCTCGGCATCGCAGGCCGAGATTCATCCGAAAACGTTTAGGGTTTGGGGTTCGTAACAGAGTTGTAGAGATTTCTACAAAGCAGTGGCACCAAGGCCTGAGTCTGAGATTAGCACAACGCCACTTCCACCTCCTTGCGACTCGGATCTGTGAATGGACGGGACATTCACAGGAGAAGGTCCTGTACCATTGGGCATGTGAGAAGATTCGGCATTCGACTGCATACACGGATGAGCAGCTGTGCCAGATCATCCTGAGCAAGTTTCAGCACTGTCCGGGTATTGGCTACAAGCCTTACATAGTACAGGTTTGTCTTTGCCGTAGCACTATGTTAGAAAATGCTGTCACGGGCAAACGGAGCAAGTACACGACCCTGCAAAGCTCAGGCTACGCAGAGGTGGCGCGGGTCGCTGCCGAAATGGTCAGAACCGTTCTTGCCACTTCCCTATTGAATCATGAACCAAGAAGCCATGCACAGGTGCAGGTATTGGTTCAGCTAAGTCAGGAAGGAGATGAGAAGAACCGAGAGATCATGCTTCGAATCGCCTTAGACAAAGCTGCACGGAGCTGGGATCCCGACCTGATCCACCTTGCACTTTGTGCTGCCAGCGGGGGTGGCTTGTGCAAACGCGGTGCAGACATCCAAACTGTGGCTCGCTTGGTCAAGGAGCGGTCCTTTGAGCTGCAGGTCATCAGCGACATGGTCACCAGCATTCTCTCGAAGGCTGAGCAATTCGACCGTGCACGAATGCTTTGTGACCAGCTCGACCGTAAGCGTCCAGCAGCCTACTGCGCGCTGCAGCGGATCTACCGGCAAGCCAACTACGAAGAGCGCATGAAGCTCCTTCGCTTCTCGAAGGATCTCTTTGCCATAAACGATCCGACAGCAACAGATGCAGAGAAGAACTCCATGCAATTTGCATCTCAAGCATGCGCTGAAGAAATCGACCTTCTTCGGGCCCAGGTCTCGTTGGAGGATCAAGCGGCCGCAAAGCATTGGAAAGGCAACACTCGCTTCGCAGGATTGTCCTTGACATCAACCTTGATCAGGCTCATAGAGATTGGAGAGGTGGTGGAGGCTGACAACCTGCGGACCCAAATGAAAGTACCCGATAAGAGATACTGGAGGATCAAAATTCGTGGCCTGAGCAATGCTTCTAACTTCGAGGAGCTTAACGTTTTTGCCACCCATCGGACCTCCCCTATCGGCTACGAGCTCTTCATCGATACCTTCTTGTATCTCTCCTGAGTTAGAAGAGTTCTCTGGGTTGTTTTGGGCAGGAGGGATTGCGTACAGGTGTGTCCCCCGACAGGAAGCATGGGCGAAACGACTTCGCGCTGGCATTGGTGCCACAGATCAAGAGTGCAGAGCAGCAAGCCCAGTATTACCTTCGGATGGGAATGGCAGAGGAGGCACAGCGAGCGCGAAGCCAGGGACAGGAGCGCTCAGGTGCCGGACGATTCCTGAACATGCTGGGCGTGGGCCGGTGAGCTGGGCCTGCGTGGCCTGAGGTAAACGCGGACATCAACGACATGGAGCTGTTGAAAAATGCCTGATCCGGCTTTAGCAGCTGGAATCCTGGAATCGAGCTCGTCCGGCACAGAGAAGCATGTCGCCCTGCGAACCTGCATGCGTCGGCACACAGCGAGCCAGGCTTT